TACAAAACAGATGCTTTGAACAGGGATTTGAAAGGATGCATTTCAGCTCAAAACCTGTAGCTTGTGAACCAGTCACACAAACAAGACTATCTATTTAGGCAGCACAAATGTGAAAACAGCTGGCTTATGGGACTGTAACAGCAGGGAACTAAGTTAAGAGGGTCAAAAGTCATCCCAGACAGCATTGGAGTCTGTGGAAAGAGTTGGTTTGCTCTGAATTCAAGAGAACTCACCCACGTTACAAAAGGCACCACTTTTAGAATTAACTGAACCTCTGGCAGTCCTTGAACGAGAGCCCAAAGACAGAACAGTTCAAGGACACTGAACTTGCATCTTCCTCCAGGTCATAGGGAGTATAGATTATGATACTGTACCTACATACCTATTTTATGGATCATTAGGTCCTCAGTTGAGAAGAAAAACCTACACCTGCCCTACTGCACAAAAGTTTTGAGGGAGATCTCCTGGGGCCACCACTAAACAAAGCCAATGTGTGCAGGTGCTTTTCCGTCATAGTTACTATATTAAGCCTCAGGTTCATGAAAAATGGTTTAAACTATCAACTTGAAGTGACAAAAAAAAATTCTCAAAGGGCAGTCCAAGTTTTTACACTCCATGCTAAAATGAAATGTGTCCACAGGTTTTAATATTCAGTGTTCCATATTTAGAGACATGCTGTGCATAAAAGCATCACAAAATAATACACTGCAACTGTGAAACAAACATAGCAATTCAAAAGTTTTGCAACATAAAGTTGTTAGTATGAAATTAGCTTTTATTTTTACCTCAAAATAAATGCACATTTAACATTTATTCAAAATCAAAACTGGAAAAGAATATTTTAAACAAGAGGGTGATGATTCATTTTAACAGGGCAAATGTTTATAAACATCTGTAATTTCTCTCTCCTATCCCACTTCTGCTTGGCTAAAAACACTTCTGCCTGATCTTTTAGTCTACTGTGAATTAAAAGAAACACTTGACAACCGAAAAACTAGAAGTGGCATAAGACAGAACCAGATATTCATTCTCTTCCGAATTCAGTTCCATGTGTAGCCACACACTTATATATATAAAAAAAATTCACTAAAGTGATTTACTAAATTCAAATTTAGTAACTTCTTCTGCAACTTAGTTCTTTGATATCTTGAAAAGGACAGTCAATGCTTAAGCATGTCAAAAGTCAGCGCTATAGCATAACTACGGTATAACTCGAGAACAGGGCTTCTATATAATTGTTCACCAGAGTGATGTCTTGTAGTTGAATTTCAGTTTCAGCAAGTACTTCAGGTTTACCTGAGCAACATCGTAGACAATGTATCTGGGAAGAAACACAAAGTTAAGGAAGAAAATAGTGTCACTACGTGTAACCGGCTTAGAATTTAGTCTTGCTTTGTACTGATTTGAACTTTAGAGCAAACTTCTGGTATGAAATTCAAGATATATACCTGTATGATTTTAGAATTCTTATGGTATACTAGAACATTTCCATCTCTCAATTTTCACCCTGTGAATAGTGAATCTGCAAATCCTACAAAATTCATATATACAACAAAAGATGCTATATTTTGCAAATAACTTGAAAATGAATTTAAAAAGAATTAGCACCAAAAAACAGACACTTGGCTCCCTTGCTCCTGTAACTCTACTCCCTGCTTTGACTTGGAGGATATGCGATCTAAAATGACGAGTGATTCTCAACCAGGAAGCCATGAGGCCCTGGGGTGCCTTGAGACCTTTTCAAGAGTGCTGCAGGGTGCCACACAACGTTAGCACAGCTAGGTGTGCAAAAATCATTCATAAGATAAACCCAGACATTTCAAGTAGGAATTCTTAGCTTTAAAAGCATTCTGGCCTGTTGTAGGCTGAGTTCTTTGTAACAGAAGAATTGCTCTAGTATTTTTCTGTAGTCAAAAAACAAGTGAAAACTAAGAGCTGACATTTTCCAAAAAGGTGCCCTTGAGTCTAAAAAGGTTGAAAACCACAGTGGTGGAGTGGTAAGGAGCACTACAGAAAGCGTGATGGGAATCTCAAGATACAAGCAGACTGACTTGAATTAGGGACTGAATTTGCTGAAGACTAGTTACATAATGTCAGTCAGGTCTGCTAGAACCTCACTGCACCCAGTGAAACACTCCATCCAAATATCAGAAACAAAGCAGCGTGGTCTGAGCTTAGACTTGGGCATCAGGGATTGTTAATGATCATAACATAAAGTCATTTAAGCAATCTCGCTCTCTCCTTCTGCATGGACAGAAGCTGTGTACACTGAGGACAAGGGGACTAAAACTGGAAAAAAAATCCTGTTATCACTGTTGGTGTCAAAAGGGACAGCAACTGTCTAGGTTGTGGAGTTATTATGCTATTAGTCTGCTTTGCCTGTTTTCAATATATGAAACTTACTTCTAAGACTGTTAAGTCAGAGGAAGCAGACTTAATGTTCTTATTAAGTACACTATAGATGATTCAGAGACATGGTATAAATAGCACAACTGCTGACCTAAATAAATTTAATTTGTATTATGTTTTGCTAAACAAACTAAGAAAATAGCTGTATTTACAACCCATGAATAAAATCAAAGCTGTTTCATGCTCTCTGTTCCCCTCAAGAGGAATCCATTCACAGAAGGACGACTCACCTGAGTTTTGGACCTACTTGGAAAACTGTAAGTTTAGTTTTTGCTTATTTAGGACAGGAAGAGTCAAACCACAGATCTGGGAATACAGACACTGGGGTTCTATCCCTCGTTCCAACGTAGACATCAGTGCGCCCAAGTACAGTCAAATGGATTCATTTCTAGGCCTGTGTTTCAGTCTATTTCTTCAAAGGTATTGTAGAATACAAATTAACATATGAAAAGAGTTTTGGAAGTACAAGTGCTACCCTTAACAATTTTTACTCACCAATTGTTTTGTTTCATGTTTTTTAGCAGGAGGATATTTTAAGATTCCTTCACAGTAACTATACTATATCTATTCCCTACGAAAGATGCATGCTCTCTGGCTGAAGTCAAACAGTAAAGGATACTCATTATACAGAAGACAAGTATCATTAATTCCTGTTGACATTCCATTCCCCAAAGAAACTTCTACACCCTCATAACTGATGGTGGCTGTGGGATCAGGTGCAGTTTTGCCCAAACCTGTAAAAGAGAAAGGGAGCATCAGTTACAAGTCTCAAATGCAAGCAGTCTTGAGAAAACTAAATTCACAATGGCAATTTTACTCATCTATATAAGTGTGGTAGGTGTGCCATTCTTCACAGATTATTAAATGTGATACCCCTGCCCATAAAGGTTTGCCGTAGGAGACAGCTAGGGATCTGTAACAGAGAGCCCTGGACGTTCAGTTACATTAAAAGGAAAAGCAGCCTAGCCAGGGAGCACTGCCGGGCAGGCAGGGCAGCGCAGCTCAGGTCGGGTCAGGTCGTGGAGGCTAATGGGTAATTAGTAAGTACCTGACCAGAGGTAAGGATAAATCTGGGGCTTAAGCTGGCAAGCAGTCTAGATCTGCTTGCTGCAGGGTTAGGATCTCCTGCCTAGGAGAAGCCCCCAGGGACACTGGTCAGACTACTTCGCTGGCTGGAAGACTAGGCTGGAGGAACTCTCTAGGAGCCAGGCTGGGAGGTATGCTGGCCCAGGAACAAAAAATGTTTTGCCCTCAAAGGTGCAGAGGGCTGCTTCTATTGTTTTGTTTGTATTATAGCCCAGGAACTTGTTACGTTAGTGTTTCCACTGGTGGTCTGCGATGAGGCTATAAGGGGAGGAGGCGGCCTCATTAGTGCCCAGCGGGGTGCAGCTACAGGGGTTGGAGAATTTGGTGCCAGAGAGGGTGCAGCCACACAAGGGCCAGGGGCCCAGTGACAGAAGGGACAAACAGACCTACTGCCTCAAAGCCAGGTCCTATTCAGCAGGCCTAGGCTAGAAGGCCTACCTAGATTAAAGAGGCAGAGGCCGAGGAGGCCGATGCTGCAACAGAGGGACAACATACCTGTAACACCCGCGAGGCATGGGGCACGATAAAGGCAAAGATTTGGAGCCTCACAATTAGCTGTTAAGGCTTTGAGTGTCCTGCCAGGCACAGCTGACTACAGAGGCCCAGCCAGGGGCTGGGGACCAGCATGACTGAGGCCTAGTGAAGGCCTGTGGGCAGCTTCCCTATTTATAAATACCGCAAGGCATGGTGGGTGGGACAGGAGAGTGCTCTAGGGTCGGAGCAGGGCATGGGCACAGAACTACCAGGGAGCGTCATATGGCCATCTGAGACCCTGATGTGTTACAGGATCCTGTAATATTGTTCAATCTTTTTGTCTTGTAGTTTTACTTCATCTACTTCAGAGGTGCTAATATCTAGAAAACCTGCCATTTGTAGGTTATTTCCTTCTTTCTCCCCTTGGAAATACTCTCCCAGTTTAAGAACTAACCATGGAGCAATTTCCTCAAACCGGCTGCATGCTCCTATGCAGACAGTGTTTTCTTAACTTGCTTATCTGAATGTCATGCGGGACAGCATCAAAAGATTTACTGAAATTAGGATGGATCACATCTACTGCTTTCAGCTATCCAGTAAGGCCACTCAGTCTGCCAACGAATGAAATTAGATTGGTCTGACAAGATTTATTCTTGACAACCCCATGGCTTCTCACCATATCAGCTTCTAGGCACGTACAAAACTAAATTCTGATCACTAATGGTTCAGACATTACTTCAGCCAGTTCCAAGTGTTCGGGGGTGAATTTGGTCCAGTCCTGCTAATTTGAATACATCTGATGTCTTTAACCTGTTCTTTCTGTATTTGAGGATGCACTCCTGTCTCCTTGATGAAATTATGTTAGTTAAAAATCCAGTCATATTTTACATTTTTGTGAGGACCTAGGCAAAAGGTGGCTTTGAACTTTTCAGCCTTTTCTGCATCATCTCATATGCACCTATTAATAGACATGTTCTTCTATCAATCATCCTCTTCCATCTAAGTGGATTTACTGAACCTTTTCTCATTGCCTTTTATATCAGTTGCTACTTGCATTTCATTTGGTATCTTAGCCTGTCTGCTTTTACCCCTGCATGCTTGTGATATTCCTTTATAGTCATCCTTAGTCAGAAACTCTTGCTTCCACTTTTTGCATGATTTTCTTCCAGTATTTCAGGCCATTGAAGAACTTCTAACGTAGTCAGAATGGTCCCATACTAGCTTCTCTCTTTCTTTAGCGTAACAATAGTCTGCAGTTGTGCAAGTCCTGTAGCTGCCAGAACTGCTGTGTTAGCGGGGCCCACACCCGTGGTATTAAGTGTTCACTACTACAGAGCTTCCACTTTGAGATCCCTTTTGCAGGTGCCTTTTGGTTAGCTGGATGACTGACAGCAGGGTTACTCCATGGATGCTGGTTGCTCTGCCACCTAGTTTCCAGGTTGAGCTCCCCATTGGGGATGCCTTTTGCCAGTGGGGCAAGCCATGACAGGGCAAAGAGGACTTAATACCACTGCCGCTCACTCTGATGCCTGAAGTTGGTTGTCCAGCTTGCATAGAACACCCAGCAGTCCAGGCCTGGCCCACCAACCCAAATACCCTGGATAGCCCCCTGCCTTAGATAGAGTCTCTGAGATAATCTACCAGTTCCCCAGGTTTGCTGAACTTCATTAACCTCATTCTGTTCCTCCCACACCTGTCTTCTCTTAGGACAGCAAACCCTCATTTTCATTTTCACTCCAAGTATCTCTCACCTTCATATTCTCAACCAATTTCTCTCTTATTCAGAACCAAATCTTAAATAAACATTTTCTTAGCAGCCTTGTTCTTTCAGAAGATAAAGGAAGCCACCTCTGACATATCCCAAGACCTTAGTGGACTTTGTACTGCCGTATTGTTTTTTCAACAAACATTTAGGCTATGGAAGCTTCTATTACTAACAGACCCTGCCCATTTGGGTGCTTCCAGTAGCTGTTCAAAGAAAACCCTATGCATCTTTACCTTCCGATTCAGTAGTTTGTAGTGAACCCATAACAAAACACCAAATCTTTTCCGCTCCCCCCATCACCCAGCGACAGACGTTCATTTCAAGAAATTTGATCCTCAATTCGTCCTGAATTTCTGAGCACATGTACATACAATTCTTGAGATAGACTAAGGAAAATTTCTGCCTGAACTTACAGACAACTGGTTAATGCACACCAAAGCATGAAATAAGATGGCTCCAATTTCAAGTGTATACACACACACACACACACACACATTACTGAAGCCAACAATGAAGGTATAGAAACTCCTTAGCTTTACAAGATACAGCTGTAACATAACTATTTTTTCCACTGAGTAAAGAACACCATAGGATGAAGCAGCTTCTCCATTAAGCTTTACCTTTGACGCTATGTTTCCCCTTCGGCAACTTAGTTATGTGAGAAGCATTCTTTAGCTCATACCTGGACAGCAGAAAGAGAAACACAGAAAAACATATCTAGATAAAAAAGTTTAAGAAAAAACTCTCCTGATGAAAAAAAAAAGTTGATACAATTGTTTTTCAAGTTTATCACACTATACTGAATTGAGATTTTATCCTGTGCCTTAGAATGCAACACTATCAGGGATTTAGATATCCCTTCCTTGCACTCTGCATTGTTGGCATTTAAAACTATACTCTTCATCTTCAGCACAAATCATTTTTCAAAAATACGCTTTCCTTCCAAACATTAAAAATCCAGGGATACTCTACAAGAGCTTCTCTTTCATTCTTGGATGAAGAGACAACGCCGTTTAGATGCTGCTTTTTTACAATCATAAGCTAGTGGAACAATAGCTGTCAAATATACAGGTAACTTACATATTTCCAAGGGCAACCTCTCCCAATAAGATTAAGCCTACTGGATCAGCCTGAGATGTGTGACAGTAGTTGGCGCTCTTGGAAACCATGTCTGCAAAATAGACACCTTTTCCGAACATGTAGCCAGTCTAGGGGCAGGAAAGAGAAAAAAGCATAAATTTACGTTTTCAGCATCAAAAAAGAAGCCAGCACAGAATCAATCTAATGTGCATAGAGGTTAGTCAGGAGAAACATGGCCACTCAGGCACCAAGCACCACCTGAGGCATCAATTTATTGGCAAAGTTGAAGGCCTGATGCTCAGCAACCTCTCTCTCTCGGATATACCAAATGGCATTTACTTGTCCACAAATGACATCGTCCCTCTCCTTATCTAGAGATTCTCTTGTTTAGGCTCTTCCCAAGTGTGGCCATCTGGGACCTCATAACTGGAGAGGTGCAAGAAAAGCAAGGCAAAGGAACAAACATATTTAGGCAGTCAGTTAAACATGTGACACTGTACATACCACAGGAGCTTCAGGTGGAGCTATTCGGAGACCTTGCGAGAGAATACCAGCAAAGTTGGTAGTACGTGAGCCATGCCAGAGCAGCTGGCGATTGTGAAGCTGTCTGAATGGCTTGTAACGCTGACTCTCCCCTTCGCGCTCAATCTTGAAGATCTGCACCATTTTAAAAAGAAGAAAGGAAAATTAAAAATTCACCCAGAACAAGGTCATCTGAACCTGAAAATGGGACCGATCTGCAAAAGAAAAAAAGTTAGCATCATGGTGTTCGTGTCAGCACAGGTTTTGGATTTTCACCTGCCAGTTATCTATGGCTGAGGTTCCATCAGAATTTGTTACCAGTTATACCACCTCCATTCCTCCTACACACCTTTTCCTTTGTTAACAATTTTCTCAAAAATTTTCAAAGCTTGTTTTTGGGACAGAAGTGATTTTTCCTTTTTCTGAAGACTAAGTAAAGACCTCTTAAAAAATTCCAAATTCCTCTCCAGCTCTGACTTGGGATTATGTTGCATTTAGTCAGCAGCAAGTTTTTTCTTTTGTGTGTGTGTCTTTTTCACCTTAAAAGAAGTTGACAAAGCAGTTAGGAATTAAGGGTGCTGACAGACATGGACTCCCCCCCATCCCCCCCAAAAAACAACAATAAAAAAGCCGAAGGGCTTTTTGGTGCTTTTATCTAATAGCGAACTCAATCAGCTATTAGATGAAAATGCAGAAAAACCCCGCTGAAGCACGAGCTCTGCAGGTACTGGGTGAGCTGGGTCAAACTGATACAATTCCTCTTCTGGGCACGTGCTGCATTTGGTGCAGGGGTGCACCAAACTGAAAATAAAGTGCTATTTCCACCCCCACCCCCCACACACATCTGTAAATCACCCTAACTATCTATAGACAGATTTTAAACACCTAATCTCCAACATTACATGCCCTTGCAACACTTACATCCACAACTTTCAGATCATATGCATTGTGGGTAGCAGCATGGGTATTCTTCACATATTGCTTTATGATCTTGGCTTCTTCTGAATCTTTATCAACCACCTGCAATAATAAAACAAGAAGAAAAATCTGAATTTTCATCTATGACCTGAAAGATGGGCTGGAGTGCACCCTCAGTAAGTTTGCAGACAATACCGAGTTGCGGGGCGGGGCAGGGAGGGGTAGTAGATATACTGGAGGGTAGGGCTAGGATTCAGAGAGACCCAAACAAATTGGAGGACTGGACTAAAAGGAAAGTACATGAGCAGGGCCACCCCTGGAGCAATGGTCTCAAGTTGCAGCAAGGAAAGGTCAGGTTAGACATTAGGAAAAAAAAAAACCTCACAAGCAGGGTAGTAAAGCACTGGAACAGGCTACCCAGAGAGGTCTGGGATCTCCATCCTTGGAAGTTTTTAAGACCCAACCGAGGCTTTGTCTAACTGGGATGATTCTGCTTTGAGCAGGGGGTTGTACTAGATGACCTCCCTGAGGTCCCTTCCAACCCTAATTTTCTACAATTCTATGATTTTCAAAGAAAACCCAAGCATTTGGCAACTGGAAGATTCCTTCCGGGCTAGCAGCACTCAAATCGTTCATTTGTTACAAAGACAGATATGTCTAGGTTGCTGTCCAAAACCAAAGGATGGTCTTGACGTCAAATGACAGAATCTGTTATTCAAGGGCTAGGTACAGACATTCAAAACTCCGAGGCAGAATCGATTCAAATTACATGGTTTTCTGTAAGCGTAATTCAGACCAGTAGCAAACAG